CCAAAAAAAAAAAAAAAAAAAATTAAAAAGGTCTGGGGATATAGCTCAGTGCAAAGGTGCTGCATTCAATTCCATGCTGCAATAAATAAACAAATAAATAATAAAAATTAAAAGCCATGGCTACAAAAAAATTTATTTTTTGGTACCAAGTATTGAACTTGGGCCTGTGTGCTTGCGAGGCAGGTGGTGAAACCACTGAGCTAAATCCCTGGCCAAACATATTTTACTGTAGTACTTTTTTTGTGTGTTTTTTTGGTTTTTTTCAGATAGCAGGGTCCTATTAGGCAGTTTAGGCTTGAACTGGATATAGAGCCCATGCTGGCCTCAAACTCAGAGGCAATCCTCTGGGATTACAGGTGTGTGCCACCACACCTGGTGCTTTACTGCAGTACTATTAAAGACAGGAGGAAAAGTTAAACTCTATGGAACAAATTATGATACCATTCTTCAATAGAGACCATATAAGCACATTAATGTGCATGAAATAATGTCTGAAATCAAGTGATATACATGCACCTATGTTCACAGAAGCACAATTCATGATAACTAAAACTTGGAAGCAGCCCAACTGCCCATCAACAGGAGACTGGATAAATAAAATGGAGTACTACTCAGCCATAGAGAATGAGAAACTAGAGACATTTATAGTTAAATGGATGCACACTGAAGTGATACTCTTAAGTGGAATAAATAGGATGCATGTGTAAATACTAAAGTTTCTCTAGTGTGAAAAACTGAAAGTATAAATAAGGACTAAGATATAATAATAATGTGAAATAGGAAGAAAAGGTACAGAGGAAGGGGAAATGGGAGGGGTAGAGGAAAATAAATATGGGAATGGAATTAACATAAGGAAAAAAACGGAAACAAAGTCTTTTGTAGATAAGGAGGGGTGGAGGGGTTGAAGAGAGGGCAGGGGAATGGGAAAAAATAAGAACTAAGATGGATTATATAAAGGTGCAAATTTCCAATGATGAATTTCATTACACTGTATACCTTAAATGTACCAATAAAATTTTTAAAAATGTCTGAAATCACAGAACTGAAAAAGAGCAAGATACAAAATTGTATTCTCTCAAAATACCACAGGTATAATGAGAAAAAAGACTCTTGTGAAACATACCAAAATATAAATAGTGACTGTATGACTATGGTAAGATTTGAACCTTTTTTTTTTGCATTGCTGGGGTAGAACCTAGAGTTGTATGACAGAGCCACTTCCTCAACCCAAAGACTTGAATATTTTAACTTTAATTACTTGATTATGTTAATTTTTTCTTTTTTATTGAGTTTATTGGCCCTTTTTAAGTATATAGTACAGTTATATTCATCATTGGGATCTTAAACCTTTACGTGACAGATCTTGGTTCTCATTTTATACCCATGCCCCTATATGATTATGTTAATTTTATAACAGGAAAAGTGAATTTTCCATTATTAAAAGTATAAAAAAATAAAAATTTTACGGCCAGGGATTTAGCTCAGTGATTCCGCTGCCTGCCTCGCAAGCACAAGGTCCTGAGTTCTATCCCTGGTACCAAAAATAAATTTAAAAAAAAAAAAATTAAAATAAAAATTTTAGTGGGCATGGTGGCACGCATGTAAAATCCTGGCTTCTCTAGGAGCTTAGGCAGGAGGATCATGAGTTTGAAGCCAGCCTGAGCAACTTAGCCAGGACCTATCTTAAAAAAAAAAACCAGGGATGTAGTGCAATGGTACAATACTTGCTTAGCACACATAAGGTCCTGGGTTCAATCCCCAGTACTGCAAAATAATAATAATGATAATGATAACAACAACAACTCACTTCATTGATGTTTAATTGATTTTGTCAGAGAGGCTCTCATGGACTATTTAGCAACATAAAATAGAAATATATCTCAGTGCAGATTATCATAAAGCCCAGGTTTAACAGCATTAAGATCACTAACCTAAAAGTGCTCTGGTCCAGGCCCATCCTCTGGCTGGATCTCTAATCATCTGAATTTCATCAAGTACAGCCACTTCATCTTAAAATAAAAAAGTCACTGTCAACAATATCATCTACTTAAATAGTATTATTAACAAACTTCAACATCAAGATTCAAGCTTTCATCACCACCACCAGCACTTCCACTGCTTACTGGGTGCTTTGCTTTTTTCTTTTTGGTACCAGGGATTGAACAGGCAGTGGAACCACTGAGCCAAATCCCTGTCTAGGTGCTTCTTTTCTAATAGGCTTGATTTACATATTTTAAAACTGTACTTTATTTAATCCTCTCTAAAACCTATGAGATTAAGTATTATCATTCTATCCATTTCACAGAAGGGTAAACTGTGGCTTAGAAAAATTAAGACAGACAATACTGTCTGCCCAAAGCCAAACAGTAAGAGTAGCGATGAAACTCAAATCCAGGCAATCTGGCTCCAGAGATCACACTCTTAATAAAAGTTTACTGCACTACCTCCCAAACTGAGTGGTTTATCATATTTTCTGCAACCTCAAAGACAACACAGAAAATCTGCCTCGTAAAAACTACCACATCTATACAGGAACAAAGACAAGTAGCTACAGAGTGGCCTTTGTTTACGATGGAAGCTTCCCTACAAGAAACCAGACAGCACTCAGGAACAAAGTGAAGTAGAAAGTATAATCGTGAGGCCCCAGCCAGCCTCATTCTTAGGGGATTTAAGCCTATCACTTCAGCAAAAATTAGTGTTTCACTTTATTTTCTAATGCCAAATTGCTTCCAAATGTATTATTTTATTCTCTGTAAATTATATATGTTTAGGACCAGGAATGTAACTCAGAGGAGCCACAGCTGCCTGGCAAGCACAAAGTCCTGAGTTCAATCCTTGGTACCAGAAAAAAATATAGAGATATTTAATTTTCTTCCCCAAACACAAGGAATTGAGAACATTAAAGAAATTCTATGGTCCAGGGTTTAGCTCAGTGGCGCCACTATCTGCCTCATAAGGGTAATGTCCTAAATTCGATCCCCAATACCGCCCCCTAAAGAAAGGAAAAATTTTATAGTGAAAAACCACTACATTGAAAATGATTTAAATAATATGCACCAGTCAAAAATATGTGTACTGGGAAAAAATTACTTATCATATCAAACAAGATGAGAAAAAAGAGAACACAGTATGACATTTTGATTTGTAAATGTGTGCTATTTAAATGTTTACAATTTTTCTCACGCTGTTGGGGATCAAAGCCAGGGCTTCATATATAATAGGGCTCTACTACTGAGCCCTCCCTCTGCTCAACAATGATTTTTAAAAAAAACAACTATCCATTTACTCAGAAAGTTAATTATTAAAAAAAAAAGTGTGAGCTACTAATAATGTACAATTCCTATTTTGATATACATACACACAAGGTACACAGAACTATCGTGCATACATAATATGAAAATTTATATTAAAAAGTCTATAAAACATATAGCATGGGGTTAATTAACGTGATTTTGGACAGGTGAGACTGACAGACTATGTAGAGTACATTTGTTTTCTTCTCTTTGCATATATACATGTGTGTGTGTGTGTGTGTGTGTGTAGTTTTGGGGATTTTTTCAAAACTGAAGATACAAGGCTGGGAGAATACCTCAGTGGTACAGTATGCTTGAGGCCCTAACTTTAGTCCTCAGCACCACTAAATAAATAAATAAATGGTGGGGGGGCAGATTTCTATATACATATATGAAAAACTGTCAATCTTCATTTAAAATGTTTTCCAAACTATTTAAAAAGAAGTTTAGATGGGCGTAGTGGTGCATGCCCATAGTCCCAGCACTCAGGAGGTTCAGGTATGAGGATCACTGTGAGTTCGAGGCCAGACTGGGCTACACAGCGAGACCCATTTCAAAAAACTGAAAAAAAAGCAATTTCTAAAAAGAAATTCATGTAACACTGTCTGTAATAGAGAAAAAGTTTAAACAACCTAAATAATCTTGACTGGGAGAATGAATATAAAATTTAAATTATATATACAGATATTTCGACAAAACTAGATCTAAAAACGTGTGAAATAAAAAAAGCTGCAGAACAGGAATACAATATGATTATCAAATAAATGTTTTAAACCATAATAATTTATAGTAGGCAATACATGTCACGGATATAAAAAGAGCCAGAAAACATACACACCAAATACTTGACAGCATTAGATCCAAGGAGTGGAGAGAAAATGTGGGGAATGGTACAAAGAAAACTGACATGATACTTATTAACGTTTCAACTCTCTTAAAGAGAAAAAGGAAAGAAACACTAAGAAGCAAGCATGAGACTGGAATAGTGGCACATCCTTACAATCCCAGCTACTCAGGAGGCAGAGGCAGGAGGAGCAAAAGCTGAAGGCTAGCTGGGGCAATTTAGCAAGACCTTGACTCAAAATAAAATAATAAAAAAGGGATGGGATTTACATCAGTGATCCCTGGATTCAATCTCCAATACCACAAAAAAGAAAAAGAAAAGCCAGGCATGATGGCGCAGGCCTGTAATCCCAGCCCTCAGGAGGCTGAGGCAGGAGGATCACCATGATCTTAGGCCAACTCAAGAGATGAAATTATAAACTTTAAAAAATTTTGGTGCTAAGGATCAAATCCAGGGCCTTGTAAATACTAAGCACACCCTCTACCACTGAGTTCAAGGCCAGCCTGAACTACACAGAGAGACCATGTCTCAAAAACCAAAAAACAAAAAAAAAGCAGCAAGCATGACACAATGTTTACTCGCAAGTGCCACATATTCACCATACTATTCTTGTTCTAGATTTTTTTTAATGATGCAAAATATTTATTCCAAGTTAGTTATTTTATGCAGTTTTCCCCC